CAGACCTTCTTTACAAATAGCTTGACACTCGACACACAACACAGAGTCTGGCCTGCCTCACCTTCTCAGACCCTCTGAGGTTTTGTTTCTGCACTTGGAGTTAAAGCAGGAGATGGGCAAAGCAATCCTGTACAGGAAAGGATGTGTTTAGGAGAGGGGAGACTGCCAGAGTCCTAATTTGCTAAGGAAAATGAAGGACTCTTAGACCTTAGAATGTTAAGTCAGGGTCCATCGTAGAACCAAAATGCTTTATGGAAACACAAGAATATCAACTAGAGAGGCTGGAGAGCAGACCTTACTAGTGGGTAATTCTCTCCAAAAAAATTTAAAAAGGTGGGACAGTGACCTATTGAACACGAATGGCCAAATGCCCAGTAGGGTGAAGGGATATCTCCAAAAACTCTCAGGATAGAACAATTTTTTTCTTCTATCCTACAGATTCATCGTATTTAAATCACCAGAAATGTTTTCCTACATGACGTGACTTTCCTCCCTCCTTTTTTTATTCCCCTTGGGGAAATCTAGTTTTGTCAGCAGGAAGTAAGCTTATAAAAGAGTATACCTCCCAATAGTGAGTCACGGTTTATGGCAGTCTTGTGTTGACTGGGCTCCTAGTATGAGAAAATGGAAAGGGAATCCAATCCTTTCTTGGTCCTAACCTTGACAAGTGCTTCCAAGTGGTCAGACAGACGAGCTCTGGTGTCTGCTGACAGCCCGAAGGGGCCAAGCCCTGGAAGCAAGGCAAAGCTGTCTTCATTTCTACTTCCCTTGTGCTTTGAGAGATGGACCTCAAAAGGCGGCCAACCTGAAAGTGCCTTCAGAATCAGGAGAGGAGGCTTCGCTGAGTCCTGCAGCTGGAAGGCTGTCCGTAGAGCCCATTTCAAAGCCTTGAAGGTGCCTAAACAGTTGCGAATAGCAACTCTTCTGACATGAAATATTCAGATAACTGGTTTCATTTCCCACTTTGGCCAGAGATAGATCCTCCTTCTTAGGCGTTAGCATCTGGTTTCTGTTAGACAGAAATACACACAGAGCACTTCTCCTTGGAATTCAAATATTTGTGTTATTTCTGGTTAGAAGGTGGGATTAGACGAAGAGTAAGATGGCCTCTTATCTGACCTCTGCAAAAGGATGAACAGAAGGCTGTGTGTAATAATTGGCCAAGAACATGGGAATGCAAAAGGAGGCCAAAGAGATTTGTCTTTGTTTTACTTAGAAAAGTCAGCCTCCACTTTTAGCATCCACAAAGGAATTGGGCTCCACAGTCATTTATGAACGAGGCTTCCTAAAAGGTTGGTATACTGTTTTGGGCCCATGGCAAACGATGGAAAGATAAAAATCAGTTCACAAATGAGACTTGTTATCAAATGACCTCAGTTCTAATCGACTCATCCTGGCAGCGTGGAGTGTCATAAAGCTTTCTGAGGCTGCATCCATGCTCCCCAGGAAAGCGCAGAGCCATCCATTGGTTTTATGGGCCGGGTTGCAGGGATGGTAGAGCATGTGCTACATCTATGTCATCACCGGCTGCACCTGAACTCAGCAATGGCGAGGGGTACCCAAGAAGTGGAAAGCCACTGCGGGAGAAGGAAATACAGTTTGTTGCAGTGCAAAAGCATCCTACAGAATGGGAAAAGAGGATGAGCACGAGCTGTCTTCTGCTCCCCCGCTGGAAAGACAAAATTGCTTGTTCACTGGGCTGGCTGAGGACAGAACGGAAGGACTAGAGATGAGAAGGTGAATGCGGAAAGGAGGCATCAAACAACCACCACTAGGAACTCTACCCGCCTTGCACCTGGTCCTGCTTTCCCTCACCTCATTCACCTTCACACTTGATAGAGATCCTGGAACTACACGACAGAAGGAAGGGGACCTGAATGCCACACTCCATGCCACCAGGCTGCTAAGAAAGCTGTTCACAATATCAAGGGTTGCATGTATTGGCAGGGCCATTCAGGAAACCGTCAAGGGCGACTTCTTCCTGGGAAAGAGTGCATTCTGTTGCCACTGAATTGAGCAGCGGTAGGAAATGACCTGAAGTCCAAAGTGGTGGTTTTAACCAAAAGACAAGGAGACCAATATGAAGAGAGGTAGGAAAAGCAAACCCAAGGTATTAGAGATGAGGAAACTAGGAAAAGATTACTTTTCTAGAACAGTCTATCGAAGAGGAAATGAAATCTAGGAAGAGGTGAGTATAAGCCCCACTCACAGGCAAAACTTGACCAGGAAGAGCTCGTGGTTGTGATGGAGGAATCGGGTGAGGACCCTAAGTTCTTGCCTCAGAAGAGAACGCACTGAGTTTCTGGGACCGGGATTCCGTGATGTTAGGTGTAAGTTATCAGGAACGGGTAGAACTCCTCTCCAGGGCATTCACTTGGAGGTCCCATCACCTTTGTGATGATTTTACCAGCCTCCTGGGCATCATCTGTAAGGTGCCTGGCTGCATGTGGGGTGGGGAGAAGCTGAGATGGAACACACGGAGGTGAACTTGGTTATAGACAGTGTGACCCTGAGGCTTGCATCTCAGTATATTTCAGGCTCTGGCCAGCTGAGCTGCCAGATGCTCCCTGGGCAGCTAGCTCTGAAGTCACTTATCCCTCCCACCCTCTCACAGGATGTGGCTACGGGTCGATTTCCGGCCACCCTCTTCTTTCTGCTGATGGTGGCTCAAGCCTCGTCTGGGGAAAATAAGAGGTACTTTTGAAAAGGATGGAGTTAGAAAGCAGCTTTTACCAGGAGAATTTCTTTCACTGGATTCCAGGCCACAGAGGACAGACATGATTTTCAGTTGTTTGTTATGTTAAGCGATCTACTTTTGTCTCTCTTTTCTTTTTCCCAAATGCCTTTTTATTCTTATCAATCAAGGAACTCAAAACTCCAAATTGGACTCGCCCGATTTCTACCAGAAACCTGCCACTTCAGTAGCATGGTGTTGCACATTATTTCTTAATCAGTTTTGCCAAGCAGTTTACAAACTTACTATACAAACGTAATAGAGTTAATTCTCCGGAGGCTTGGATAATTAATGAAGCATTTAGATATGAAGATAGCATGCGGAAAACAGCCACAACCAACATTTGCATTGCTTTTTTAAAAAATCAGTGACAATGACAAATGTCATATTAATACCTGAAAAGCAAATTATTTTAATACATCCTGAATGGAGTGCCATTTCCACGACCTTTACAGCCTTCTTTTCCCCAGACCCATTTGGGATGGTGTCTGAAAAGCCACTTTTCACATTCTCTCCATAAAAAAAATACTAGAAAATATTAACTACTATACTGAAAAGAGACCACGCTCACCTCACCATGGCAGATGGGCACTGAGATACACCGTGTACTACATCAACAGTACATCTCACTAAAGGTGGGTCCTCCGATGGATTATTTCAACTGCCACAATCCATTAAAGGGAGGAGGAGAATGGAAGAAAAAGCCAGCGCTTCATTTTGAACTGAAGCAAGGTAGGAAGTTTTATTTTACTATAAACAACACAACCGTTAAATGTCTTCTTCAAGCAAACTCACTTTTGAGCCCATTTTCTGTCTGACCAACAGTCCCCAAAGTTCAACACGAAAATCCCCCTCTGAACAGCATTTGTTTTTCAAGGCCATCACCCTGAAATCTCCCGAGCAGCTCCCGTTCCTGGGTAACCCAGACACTCTGGTTACGGGGTGTGTTAAACTGGATTCTTTCCACAAGCACTGGGGGGGCGCGGTTATTCAAGGTAGTGGTCACCTCCACTCTACTTCATTTCCAGAAGCTCTCTTTGCTCTGACCTTCCTTCATATTCCCCTTCAGTCTCCACCCTTGACTTGCTTTCTGCTTTTCGAATTCCCTTCTTCCTTCTCCACGCATGACGTACGATCTAGAACACCCCGTCACTCCCAGAGCCCCACAGAACCTTCTGCCCCTACATGTGTACTGCTTAAGTTCATTTGCACTGAGGACAACCGGTTGTCAGGCTAAGGCAGCTGTTCTGTCTGCCTTGGTAAAGGAAAGCAGATAATATAATCCAGGAAACATGAGCACCAGAAAATAATGCCACACTCAAAACAACGTCATGCTGACATCACACGACGGGTACCACTCACAGTCACTTTCATTTTCCCCAAGGGACAGATCAATAGCAAGCAACTTCAATGTTCCCAGCAGGGATGGCGTTGCTCACGGGACTTTACGGACACTGGTTGGTTTCTCTAATTGGCAAAAGTTACGTTTGCAATTAAAAAAAAATTACTATCACTTTGTAGAGAAGAAATTCTACTGAGGGTGGGAGCAGACTTAAGGATGTCTCCTTAAGATGGAATGGAGCATAAAATACTTTGGGTGTAATAGTTCATTTTTTTTTTCAGCCACAAAAAGTCAAATTGAATAAACTCCTTTGAAAAAGGTCTCACTGACATGTAACAAATTTGTATAGAAAAAAGAAAAAAAAAAAAAAGGTGGTCCTGGATCACCTCTGAATACTACTCAAAGACAATGTTGGATGTGCATGCAAGTCTTCACTGAGTCCTACGATATAGAAATTCCTTTGATATTACAAAATACAAAAATATTTTATCAGAACTCTCATTTACATTGCATTTACAATGGACATGTAAATAACTTAGTCTTGGGTCCTGGCTAATAAACAAATTACTTACTGGAAAAAGGGTCCTAAAAGTAAGAGAACCAGAGAGGATATAAGCGAGCGGGAAACAGTTTGCCATCTTGCGAAAGGCGACTCCACACAGACTGACGGGAAGGAAGGGGCCAACCCTGGCCTCCACAGAGTCTACAGCGTTTCCAAAGTGAAATGTGCAAATAATACTCAACATGCCGAGAACTGGGACTACCTATTGAGTCAGTCTAGAACCTTGCCTCCACAACTGGCACCATGTTCCTCTTCTCCTCCAGCAACCACCCCCGGAAAGCGCTTTAAAACTGAAAACAGTGCAAGTTTCTGGATGTACATTCTTAGCTCCCATCTTTCCCCATTCCCTGACCCCAATCGTATTAAGAGATGATACAGTTTTTGCTCTTTTGTCTTTTCCTGCTGTGCAACTGTCCCCTGCCCCCTAACGTGGAAGACTTGGGGAGGCCGTAGGAGCTGTATTTGTGCAACAGCTCATCGCTTGTGACGTATCGCAGGCGGGCGGGCTGGGGGATGGGCTCTCCTAGGAAATAGCCCTCATTGTCAGACTCCGAAGAGGACGAGCAGGTGGAACACCAATCATACTCGGTGAAGTAGGGTCCCCACCGCTCCCCAAAGGCATTCTGCAGAGCCAGGTCCGACACCGTTCTCGGGCACTGGCCGTACAGGTCCCTTCGGGACCCTTGGCCCAAGCTCTCCTGGAAGCTCCGCTGGCGCATGAACTGGTCGTAGTCCTCCCTGGCTCGGAGCGGGGGCCTTTCTTTTAACCGAGAGATGGCCTCGCGCTCGCTGGCCAGGTGGAGGGCGTTGTCTGAGCGAGAGCGCCGGGAACGCCTGGAGCGGTGGGGTCGGAAGCGGCGAGCGTCGTCGCGGGAGGTACTTCTCCTCCGCGTGCGTTCGCTCATGGGCTGGATCCTCATGCCCTCCTGCCCTGGCAGCTTGCTGCCCGCCATCCCCCCCTCGAAATCAAAGCTCTGGTGCAGCCTGCCGTGGGACTGCAGGTCCCTGTACCCAATGGGGTTGCCGAGCTGGTGGAGGTTTCCCTCCATCTCCTGGTACTGCTGGGCAGAGAGCAGGCTGCGAACCGACTCTGCGCTCCGGAACTGCATGGACGAGTTAAGCGTGCCCATGTTGCTCAGCTTCTCGGAGACATTCATTCCAGAGTCTTTGCTGAGGTCGGGCATGGAAAACCGGGAGAGATGCTCCTGGCGCTTGGCGCCACCATCGGCAGACAGGCCTGGGGGGAGAGAGGGAAGAGAGGACCACGGACATTAATACAAACGTGCAGTCTTGTTCATCGGAACCGCCGTCTATCCAGGATTGCTGCATACGGTTGTGCAGCTGTACACTGCACAAAGGAGCTCTCAGAATGTTTGGGAGAGCTCTCCCCGCTCCACAAGGGGGGGTAGTGCCCACCTAGAGAGGATACCTGGTTAAAATGCATCCACAGAGGTATATTTTACTAGTTACTAATTCCTCCAAAGGCTCATCGAGGTCACTAGGAGCCCATTGTGCATCTTACCCATGCTTCCTCTGTTTAGAATTTCACTTTACAAAGTGTGTCAATTACTCCTTTGATCTAATGCTGCACTGTTAAGTACAGGAGACACATATCCTGGATGTGGAAGGTTTCAGCGACAGCCACTGGGCCATGCCCAAGCAGTTCCTACCAACACCGAGCCTCACATCTAATCCCATGATACCACACCAGCTCACTTTCCTGTTAGCCTCCAGCAGCTTCCCCCTGTGCCTGTAGTCCCTAAGCCCCAAAGCCCAAATGTCTGGAACACTAAGTGACTCCCTGGGTGTACACAGAGGGATATTTACTCTCTCAGGCTCTTCAGTAAATGACTGCTCCAGGGTTTTAAATGGGCCCCTAACAGCCAGAAGATGTGAGTGGGACTCTGGGACACTCCTTCTTCCCCAGGGGAGGCACTTGTTTTAAAACAACACCATGACCAGCGGGTATCCCTAGCAATGGACCTGCAGTCCCTAGGTGCCATCACTGGCACCACTGAAATAAGCCATTCTGCAGGAAGTGGGAGATGCTTGACTTGGGTAACTTCCATGCTGCCCATCCTAAAGCAGCACTCTCGAAAGAGAGGCTTAAGAATGGCCCAGGTGGTAAAATCTCAGCATTTGCACTCATTACCTGTCGGAAGATGAGCAATTTGCCATTGCTGGTTGCAGAAAACATGTCTTTGAATTGCAATGGCCCATTATGACCCCTGCCACTGATTATTCATCCCTCCCCGCTGGGGCCAACAACTCCACTCCCCTGACAAAACTAATGTTCTGAACACTTGAAAAACTACTTCGCAATATCTATTTAAGCTAAATACACACACACACATGAATTATCAATGAAGCTGCTTTGAAAATCTGTGTCCTTTTGTGTGTGTGTGTGTGTGTGTGTGTGTAGACTTATGTGTTAATTCTTTTGGGTGTACAGAGTGGCGAATCTATGATTTTCCATTGCTACTCTTGATTATACACCAAACAGAAATCAGTTTATAGGTCCAAAAAATGTACAGGGGTATTTGGAGAAGCTTTCTTTATAGTAGCTTAGAACTAGAAATAACTCAAATGTCAATTAATAGGAAAAAGGATCAATAAATTGTATTTTATACCATTCTCCCTTAAAAGGAATTAGGAGTCTGGAAAGAGGGCTGATTCCAGGACAGGAGGAGGGAATGTAAGATCTGAGCCTGGAACATCTTGCTATGCCAAACAGGAAGGAAGTGTTACAAATGAAAAATGAGGGACTCTCACTTGCCAAAGCTGAGCAACTTGAGCATCAAAACATTAAAAACAGTAACGATTTATAAACCATTGAAAAAGGAGGAAATCATGAGTCCATACCTATACCAGATAAACACACCAATAACTAAATGGGGGAGAAGACTGGGCTCTTGCATACAGTAGGATGTTGAGCAGAATGAGTATGCATGGAAGGGGTGCTGGATTGGAAGACCACCATTTTGTAACCACTGTACATAAAGATCGATTCATGCAAGAGTCAACTTATGCTCAAGTCAGGGGGGTAAAATTTGATGGGGGAGCAGGGTATTTGCACGGTGGTTAAGTGTTTCTCCACGTATTAGTTTGTAAGGAAAAATTCAGTAGCTACACAATGGAGAAATCAGATAGCACTTTGACCAGGAGAATCAACTTAACATCATCGATGAGGCGTAACTGGACATTGCGTGCCTCCCAACGTAGGTCCTGAGAAGGACACACTATCACTCATGCAATGTTCCAGTCAGGAACATTTCCTGAATGGATTGAGAAGGAAACCTGAGATAAACTCCCAAATGACGAAAATTCTATTTAAAAAAAAAGGGACTATATCTTAAAACATTTTTTTTCCAGTATCATAAAAGTCTGAGGGAGCGTTCTACACTGAAGAACATGAAGGAACCATGGCAACAATATAGAATACCTGATCCCTCTGGAACTTATTCTCTAGTGAGAATGTTATAGAGCATAACTGTGGAACGACTGACAAAAATTGGGACATGGGCGGGGCGCCTGGGTGGCTCAGATGGTTAAGCATCTGCCTTCGGCTCAGGTCATGATCCCAGGGTTCTGGAATCGAGTCCCGCATCGGGCTCCCTGCTCCTTGGGAGCCTGCTTCTCCCTCTGCTTCTCTCTCTCTCTCTCTCCCTCTCTCTCTCTGTCTCTCATGAATAAATAAAATCTTTAAAAAAAATTGGGACATGGGCAATTAATAACCATATTATGCCAAATCTACTGTGGTAGTTTTGATAATGGTGGTAATTATGATAATGTTGGAGAAGATCCTTCCTCTTGGGAAATACACAGGGAAGGATATGGTACTACATGGCTGAGCTGGATGTGACTTCCTCTCAAATCATTCAGAAATACATTGCGTGTGTGTGTGTGTGTGTGTGCAAGAGAGAACCAACGATAAACTAATGGGATAAACTGTTAACCAGAGGTGAATCTGGGTAAAGAGGACATTCTGGGTATTGTTTGTTCCATTTTTGCAACATTTCAGTAAGTTTGAAATTACTGCCAAATAAAAAGTTTCCCCCAAACTGTAGTGTGTGCATATACAATGGTTTGGTTTTCCATGTCCGAGGAAGTTACTGGGGCTGGGGGGGTGGGTGGTGTATGCTACTGGCATCTAATGGGCAGAGGCCAGGGAGATGTTGCTGCACACACGGGGCAGACTCCACAACAAAAAATTATGCACCCCCCAGAGGTCAGTCATGCTGCAGCTGAGAAACCATCATATGGTGGAATTCCACACAATGACGAGAATGAACGACACCAAGCAAAAGGGATGAATGTCATAGAAAATGCTGGCAGACACAAGAGGGTACGTGCTGTGTGAGCCCATTTACATGAAGTTCAAGAGCAGCCTGAGGCCATCTATGGCGGCAGAGATCAGGGCAGTGGGAAGGGACCTCAGGGAAACTTCGAGGGTGCCAGAGATGTTCTATATCTAGACCTGGGTGATGGTTATAAAAGGATACACATGGAAAAATTTCTTGAGGTGCAGTTTTAATATTTTGCTTGCTTTACCTCATATATAAGCTATACCTCAATAACATGGCATAAAAATAAAGCAGTGTTCTCATTAAAGAGCCAAATTTAAACGCTGGCTATGCCTGTGGAGAAACTATTCTGCCAACCACAATACTTTCACCTAGATTTTTTAATTCCATTACCGGGGTAATTGTCAGGGCAGTTGGGGATGAGGTCTTTAATTCCCCCTTTCCCTGCTGCTTATCTCTGACACACACATCATAAAAGCTGATTTACAACAGCCTAATCACTTCCAGAACCTCCCCAACCTGAAGTCGGAGAGGGCAGGACAGCAACCAAGGATGATGAATGAGTCGTTGGAGCAGGTGCACCCCACCCAGTAGGGAAGGAAAACATTCTTCCAAATCACAGGGAGAAGCAAAAGCTATACAGGTGGGTGCAGTGATCTTTGCTGGGCTTTCTCCTCAAGCCTTGGAGTGGAATCAGGGTCAGCATCAACAAGCAAGCAAATGCCATACATTCCCAAACATGTTGTTTTCCTGACCCTGTCTTTTAGAAGCCCCCAAGTCTAGCCTTTCTGAGGACATCACGTATGTGAACAGATTCTTATTTCGATGAGGTTAACATGAAGAAGAGCAGCTTCAGTCCCACTCGTGTTGTACTTCTGTGTTCTGGGCAATCTCAGGATAACCTTAACCACCTCGACCCTCCCCAGAACAGAAAAATGCTCGGTCAAGAACAGGAGGGGCCCGGTGCTCAACCCAGAGCCTATAACTAATCACTTATCCCAAACATAGGCTATTCCCTCAGGGACATGGGGGTGGGATTGCAAAAGCTACCTGCTCACTGCAGACATTATTAATACATTAATTTACTTATGAATAAAGCTTCTTATTGATTAACTCAGATTTTTCTCCAGGGTCTTCCTGCACGCAGAGCATGAACAGAATGGTCAATGTTACCCACTGATGAGCAACAATCATGTATTTGCCCCTGAACAGGTGTCTCTGTGGTTAATTTCACTATTGGGAAAGTCCAGAGTCCTTATGCAGACCTCAAGACCCTCAGGGGCCTCCAAGATCACCCACCAAATGCTCTTCCCAGCTTACTTGGCTTCAGTTACACCTTCACCACCAGCGAGCTCATTCCGGCCCTCTTTGGAAAACCCTCCCCTCTGCACTGCTGACTTCTGCTCATCATTAATGTCCCCTCTTCAGAGATACCTGCCCTGATTGTTCTTTCTAAAGCAGCAAGTTGTCCCCCCAACAACCACTTTGTAGCCTTGATTTCTAAGGTCCCCACCCTGACTTATTTTCTTAAGTTCATATGTTTGCAGTTGAATGGATGTCCCCTGGGAGCAGGGATCATGTTCCCCTGTTCACCAGACCCCCTCCAGAACTAGGAGTACCCCACTGGTGCTCAATAAATATTTATGGAATTAAGGTCAATGGAGCCTCACACTGCCACAGCTAGGAAAAAGCAGCTACCCTCTGAGCTGGAGTGGGACAGGACTTAAAGAACAACCAGTTGTAATTCAGATGGGTGGGATGCTAACCGTCAGGAACAGAAACACACGGTCACACCTGTCAATCTCATTGTCTGTGGCTTCATTACGCGGCCTACCATCTGGGGCGTCTCCAATTTTAAAGCTGAAGACGGGTGGTTTATAATTAGCTCCTCGATCTGCACAAAGTGTTTGGGCTTATTAATCACAGCTCTGGA